AGAAGCAGCTAAACATTATCTAAAAGCAGCAAAATGTTAGATAAAAGGTAAAAGACATAAAAGGGTAACGGATAAAATAAAAGCACAAGGAACTTTTTTTGGGACACTAAAAGTGTCCCAAAAAAGTTTTCAAATAATTTGACTGTATTACCTAAGGCTTCACTGGGTGTCAAATAAGAGCTTGACCTTAAAGGCTAAATCAGAATCAGAATCAACTTTATTGGCGTTGCACCGAGATACGAGAATAGTTATGTACAGTCGTCCGAAAGATGGGCAGAGTGCACAAAGCTGCGGCTATTAAATAGCGTGGCCCTCTTATTCTTATTCAGAATAATATTTTGCTTAGATGAGAAAAGGGAAGAAACCATGAGGAGAGATGGTATTTAAAAAAAAGATCTCTCACAATGGGTATGTTTACATGGACATAAGTAACCGGATCAAATGGCCGGTCGGAATAAAAGTGTGTCATGTAAACACTCCGTTCGGGTTATTTTTTGTGTATTCGGCGCGATCCAATATACTTTGTGATCAGAACGAAACGGGTGGTTTACGCCGATCCGAAACCCGATCGGTGCGCATGTAAACGCTTGATCTGTTCGTTTTTATCTGATCGTGAAAAACTGACCTGACTGCGCATGTGCGACTTTGCCATTTCCGCCTGGCTAACGCTAACAATATTAGCATGTCAGGGAAGCAAAACTGGTTGGTGAGCGACACAACATTTCTACTACAAACTTTGAAAGAGCTCAAAATGATCTGTATCACCTGTAGCTCAGTCAGGGAGTGCAGTAGCGTCTCCACCATCATTAAAACCTGTCGCAGGTCCATTTTGGGTGCTCAGGTTTGTTTACGTTCACCCCGGAAGTAGAACTTCTTCTTCTGTGTTTTTTTTAAGGAGAGTTTACCACTCTGCGCATGTCAGTACTGCTGTTCAGAACAAAGCCCGCTGCATGTAAACGCTTGTCATGAACAGATTGTGCCCATGTAAACAATACATTTGAATTATTCAAACGGAACACATTTCAATCCGGTCAAAGAATTCTGCACATATAAACATAGCTACTGTGTCCTAGACAGGGCACGATTTGAGGCATCAAAAAAACCTACCACAACAAAGCAACATAAATAGATGTTATACATGTACATATAGGCCGGTGAAAACATTGAATTTGTAAGGGAAAGTCGTAGCATAGTCCAGAGCGCCCCCCCAACCCCCCCTCAGCCATTGTCCAGATAAGAGGTGACATTCATCATCAGCTCAGTTGAGGTTCTGTCACATGTCCACGGCCTTGGGGAAGGGAGGGGTGAGGAAACAGTCAAAGCATCTTTGTTGTTTTCAAAACATTCCAGGAGGAGTTGAGATAAGTCCGGCGTCAAGGGCACATTTTGGGTCAGGCAGAACTCGTGAAATTCTTGTTTCTGCCTTTTAAAGTCTTACTGGTATATATTCTCTGATGGAAACTCCAAAACAGCCGAATTGATATTTTATGCCAAAAGTCGAGCTCATAGCTTCTCCAAGATTATTCTCACCATTCATGAGTGCTGCCAGGGAGTTCAGTCCTGATAACAGCCTGCTCCAGCTCCCTGCTGCAGCTCTCCAAATTCAGTCAGAGCACTGTCGAGCTTCGACACATCCACACAAATTTATAGACAATCCAGAATTCACCAACCAAACAGCAAAATAACCAGTTGTCGTCATGAATCCAATTTGTTTCCGTCGAGGTAAGAGGGTCCTCCTTACCCTGACTCCTGTCGGGAGAAGTTGATAAATCTTATTTAGAGACCAGCTGATCTTTCGAATTAAGAAGTATGCAGGAAAAAAAAGAGGCTTTTTAAGGGTTCACAGGACAAGAGAGTGCAGCAGGGAAGCGGGGGGTGGGGGGTGGGAGACAGGGAAACACGTCTGGTTTCACCGGAGGATAGAGAGAGGAAAAAAAACAACACACTTACTTGCAAAATAAACAACTTATATCCATCCATTTATCCATTTTCTTCCACTTATCTGGAGTCGGGTTGTGGGGGTAGCAGCCTAAGTATGGAGGCCCAGATTTCCCTCTCCCTAGCCTCATCTATGGTCATGAGCTTTGGGTTGTGACCAAAACAATGAGATCTCGGATATAAGCGGCCGAAATGAGTTTTCTCCGCAGGGTGTCTGGGCTCTCCCTTAGCGATAGGGTGAGAAGCTCGGTCATCCGGGAAGGACTCAGAGTAGAACCGCTGCTTCTCCACGTTGAGAGGAGCCAGTTGAGGTGGATCGTGACTTTGGTTAGGATGCCTCCCAGACATTTCCCTGGTGAGGTGTTCCAGTTACGTCCCACCGGGAGGAGACCTAGAGGAAGACCCAGGACACGCTGGAGGGACTATGTTTCTCAGATGGCCTGGGAACGCCTTGGGATTCCTCCGGAGGAGGAGCTGGCCCAAGAGGGTAGGAACTTAGATCGACTGGTAAATTGACAGCTTCTCCTTTTGACTCAGCTCTCTTTTCACCACGCCAGACCGGTACAGTGTTTGCTTCACTGCAGATGCTCCACATATCTGCCTATCAATCTCTTGCTTCATTTTTCCCTCATTTGTGAACAAGACCCCAAGATAATTAAACTCCTCTACTTGGGGCAGGACCTCCTCCCCAACCCGGAGAGGGTATTCTACCCTTTTCCGGCTCAAGACCATGGCCTCAGATTTGGAGGAACTGATCTTGATCTCTGCCGCGTCACACTCTGTTGTGAACCGCTCCAGTGAAAGCTATAGATCACGGCCTGATGAAGCCAATAGGACCACATCATCTGCAAAAAGCAGAGACACAATCCTAAGTTCACCAAAACGGATCCCCTCAACACCTTGGCTGCACCTAGACATTCTGTCCATAAAAGTTATGAACAGAATCGGTGACAAAGGGCAGCCTTGGCGGAGTCCAGCTCACCGGGAACAGGCCCGACTTACTTCCGGCAATGCAAACCAAGCTTTGATACCAGTCATACAGGGACCTAACAAAGCCCGTATCAAAGGGCCTAGTATCCCATACTCCCGGAGCACACCCACAGGGTTCACCGAGGGACAGGGTCGAACGCCTTCTCCAAGCTCACAAAGCACATGTAGACTGGTTGGGCAAACTCCCATGTACCTTCTATGACCCTACTGAGGGTGTACAGCTGGTCCAGTGGTCCACGACCAGGACAAAAACCACATTGCTCCTCCTGAATCTGAGGTTTGACTATCCGATGGACCCTCCTTTCCAGAACCCATGAATAGACCTTACCAGGGAAGGTTAAGAGCTTGATCCCCCTGTAGTTGTAACACTCTCTACGGTCCCCCTTTTTGAATAGGGG